GAGCGCCTTAATTGCCGCCTGGCTGTCGGAGAAAATGGCAATGGTTTTATTTGTGATCTTCTGCCTGTTTATTTTCCCTATACAGTGCTCGATGGCCGCTACTTCTGCCTGGAACACAGTTGTATTATGTCCGAGGCTGTGTGCGATTCTCGTCTTTGCTCTGCCTCCGTATGTACCGGCTCATACTCCTTCTTGGGTATTTGAGTCATCTGTATACCAAGTTTCTTCCTGTTTTACCGGTGGGCCGTTTTGCCAGTCCTCTCTACTTGGTTTGATGATTTTGAAATCTTTTTGAAAGTTATACTGCGGAACTGTGTTATCCACGGGCATTCTAGTATTGGATCCGCCTTCAGTTCATTGTAAAGTTTCAAGTATTCTGCACCGTGTGACTGGCTGATTGGGGTTTGCCCCTGCATTAGCCTGTGTGTCACCAGTCGAGCTTCTCCTTGTATGTAGATGTGCAATGGTGGAAGTCCGTGTAGGACATCGAGCACTGCAGTTGGGGTCGTTCTCATGGCTCCCGCGACACTTAGGATCGCCAGCCTTTGTATGCCGCCTAAAAGGCCAGCCGTACCCGATTGCCTTGTTCTTGTCCACCGAGTCACTACACCGTAAGTTATCATGGGTCTCACTACCCTTGTATATAACCAGAATGTCACTTTTGGGTTCAGCCGCCAGTTTTTCCTGCACAATCTTCTGCAGATTCCCAGGGCCATCCTGGCCTTATGTACTGTTTTTTTGCATGTGGAGATTCCACGTGAGCCTGTGATCGAAAGTCACACCTAACTACTTGACTTCCGTGGCGAAAGGGATCTCCATCATTCTTTTTCTTGTGAAGACGGCGACAGTGGTTTTTTGGGCATTCACTGAGAGGTTCTCATGCTCGCAACATCTGCAGACGATGTTCAAGGCTCTTTGCATGAGCTCCGAGGTGACGCCTGCAAATTTTCCTTTTGTGACTATCACCAGATAGTCAGCATATTCCAGGTAATATATGCCTTCTTCAGTTAGGTTTCTGAGGAGATTGTCTACTAGGGTTGCCCAAAGCAATGGCGATGGTACGCCTACTTATGGACATCTCTTCTCTGCTTTTACCTGTATGGTAGCCTCTCCTAGAGAGGTGTATATCATCCTTCTTTCTAGGCTGGCTTTAATCCATCGACACACGACAGCTGGTACTCCTCTTTTCGCCAGTGCGTCTATAAGTGACTCCACGGAGACACTATTAAATGTACTTTTGATGTCTAGAAAGGCAGCTACTGCCATTTCTTTGTCGTCCAGCGACTCAGATAGTAGTCTATTTAATTCGCCCAGCGCTAAATCTGTCAATTTCCCAGGTTGGTACGCATATTGACAAGCACTAAGAGGTCTTTCCTTCAACGTTTCATCTCTTATGTATCGGTCCAGTAACCTTTCAACGGTTTTCATTAGAAAGGACGTTAGACTGATAGGTCTATATGACTTGGCGTTTGGTCTAATATATTGCCTATTTTGGACAGGAAGACTATTTTCACCTTTTGCCATGATTTTGGAGTATATCCCCAGGCCATGCAGGCTCTGAGAACATTGCTCAGATAAAGTATCAGAACATCAAGTCCCTTTTGTAGCAGAATCGAGTAGATTACGTCTACTCCAGTTCTTTTCTTGGCAAATACTCGGTGAATTCTTGCACAAGTGGGTGTTTCTTCCACCTCCATGCAAAACCTCCTCCATGAGTCTTTTTTCCGGATTTATTTGTTATAATGCGTGAGTTTTTTTCCTATATGTGTCGATATCAACACTATGTACGACATACTCCATGTGGAAGCTGAGGTACAGAAGTTGAACCTGTTGGAGTCTCTGGAAATAAATAAGGGTGAACGTTCGGGTTTCCTGCTTACCAACAGGCGGTTGTTGAACCATTGTTGAACCTTAAGGACAAAACACAGGCACTACAGAGAAATTCTTAAGGCGCTCTAAGAGCGGTGCTTGTGCGGAAGTAGCGATTCACATTGGATTTGAATCACTGGAAATTCATTTGGAGAAACGTTATGAGGAAGTTCATTCCACACAAACGCAGTTCTCCGAATGAAAGAGTTCTTGAACAGTGAAGTTCGAGGTGTACTGAGCTGAACCTCAAAACGATAAGCAGCCACGGTCCGTCGAGTATTTGTAATATGTACCGCTCTTGGTGGAATGGAATGTGCCAAGTCACTTGAACACTTTCCGTAAAAATATCTATAGAAGAGACATATCTTCAATTATTCTTCGATGTTCCAGATTATCAAGATTGTAAGTGATATTCGCGTCTCCAATTAGGCGGATGGCTCTTTTCTGGATGGAATTCAGCAGCTTCAGGGTATGCTGACGTGAACAAGTGTTTTGAGTTTTGTGATGTACTGTTGACATCAAAATTGCCGCCTGTAGCATACATCAATAGTTCTGTTGTTTTTCAAATATGAAGTATATCAAAGGAAATTAGTTTGAATTGGAAGGGGTATATTTTTAGGGGAAATTATTTTTTGGAAAAGACAGCTTGATGGATTTCACTTCACCATCCCCATACAAAAAATTGGGGAAAACTGCCAAAAGAAGAAAGAAAGCAATTAGGTTCAAAATAATCTCCCTACAAAGATGTGTAGATCATGTATAGAAGTTACTTTCAGATCCAAACGGTAACAAAAACCTCTCCCGAAAGAACTACTTCCACATGCACATTGAATTACACTAAAAAAACTCACGGAACAACTACTTCGAAAGTAATATCATAATGTTATGAATGAAATGAGGTGATGAGACAAGTGTCTTACTCCGAAACTTCGAAGTTCGCCATTGTGCATGGTAGTGAAATTCAATATCGTTAATTTTTCATAAGTTATACCTATTGTGTAGCATTTTCTTTGAATGATATCTGATTCAATTCTATAACGAATGTGTGGAGTACAGACTGAACAGAAAAAAGTAATTTTCTCAAAATTCATTGTTCATGTGAGAGTATTTATTTCGAAAGTATTTTTTTTTCATGTAATTCAATGTTTATATGAAAATACCTGTTTCGAAAGGGTTTTTTCTTCCAGTTTATATCTGAAAGTAACTTCTATTCATGATCTACATATATTCGTAGAGTTCATTCTGAACTGAATCGTTTTTTTCCTACTTCTGGAATTTTCCCACAATATTGTGTATGAAGATAGAGACGTGAAAGACAAAGTTTTTTTCCCATCAAAGGAAACATAGATTCTTTCATGGTAACTAAGTGGTCGCTATTATTAGAAAATTGTTTTTATATATTTACCGTTCGTGAATTGCAATTTCACTACAGCATAATTGAAAGGTCAATGTCACAGACAACTGACAATCTGTTTGCATCACTGAGTTTGGTGTTACTGCTAAAAACAAAACATTGTTTCTTGAATTATCTCATTCTTCCGGCGAGACTGAACATTATTTTCTGAGGTCGATGGCATCGGTATTAGCAGATTTGAGGATAGATAGCTGTTGTTCATACGTCAAGATGGTTGGACTTGAGATTTTGGAATGAATAATATGGTTTCCTCATTAACATTTACGTGAATTTCGAAAGACTGTACTCAACTTGATAATTCAACCGTCAGATTTCCTTTCGCAAATTTGAATAGCATCAATCTGTTATTTGATTTTCACTTCGTGCTGATCTCCTTTTTGTGTGAATGCCTTTTTGTCGTAGTTCAAATCAAAAAGATATAGGGGAGGCTGGGTACACTTGATCCCCCTTTTTGTTTTTTGGCCATTATTTCGTAAATATTGATCCGATTTTGAATATCTTGGAACTGAAATACGTGGAATGTCATTCGCTATACTAAGTATAATAGCTAATGATATCGGTTATATAAATTTAGTAACAAGCCCACGAGATCTTCGTATATTAAGTGTCCCATATAATATTGTCTGACTTGATCCCCACCCTCTGGAACACTTATCCACGGGGAAACAAGTCTCCCACACATTTAGGGTCACATGATATCAATACAGAAGAAAACAAAAAAAAATGTTAAAATTATTTATCATTGATTCATTTGTTTAGAAAACTAGACACAACAACAACGTACCAACTGTTTTAACGAATCACATATACCAAGTTTTCAACAAACATCACTTAATGTTTCTATTAGTTCCTTCACAAGCAGAAGGGGCGATGACAAACCGGTCGTTTGTTGTCCGCTTCAGTCTAATTCGAAGAATGATACTCTGAAGGGATTCGATTTTCAATTAGACACTAACTTGCACTGATGAGTGGACGAACAGCCCGAAACCGGTTTGCGAGTGTGCTCCAATAATTGAAAATCTATTATGGCAGTTGTATCGTCAACAGCATATGCAGGAATAAGTTTAGTGAGGAATCCTGCACTGACACCTGTCGAATATAATTCAACGTCCTTCATGGTATCAGCTAGGGGAGTAGTTGTTTTCTGAAGGTGTGTTTTATTAACCTACAGTATAGGTAGTTGGGACTGGCCTGAACGAATTGTTTCTTCAGATGATTTGATTTATGGCCAGTCTTCAAGTATGCCCACTGACTATATGTGGAAAAAAACCTTGAGCTTTTAAATCTTATAATTTAAATGACGATCGGATCCACTCAGAGTGTGTACAATAACAATAATCCAAAAACTAAGTTCCTACGTTTGTGTAATTTTTGAAAAATTGAATAATTCAGCGACAATATTGAAAAACACCTTCATCCAGACAGACTGAGACGATTATGAATCATAAAAAATATACTTGAATTTGAAATAAAAAATTCAAGTTGAACGAGTGCAATTATGGCAATCACTTCTGCAATAATCGTTATCATCTACTCGTATTTAATTCATTCGCAACCTCAGAGCACCTCTACAATGCCCAGTCACTATGAGGTGAAACAAGAATTTCCATTTCATTCATTTTCAAAGAACATCAGATTCGTTACACCACAAATTGCGTTATTATGAAACCACCTTGACTGCTCATTCTCATTTTAATAATTCTGTTTTGTTTTGCAGGTGTGGGAATGATTCCAGTGAAAGAGTAAGTAGCGATTGTTTTATTGGAATACTATTGTAGAGAGCGAAACGTTTATGAAATTCTTAGCGTTTTACCGGATGGTTCGGATTGAATGTTTACAATTTGCTGATCAACATAGAGATTTAAGCAGGGTTTGAAATCAATAATAGGAATAATTATAGTCTGGAAGTTTGAAAAATCATTTGATGACCGATTTTCTACTTCATTATCTTCGTACAAAAATTGTAGAAAACTTCCAAAGGAAGGAAGAAAGGAAGCAAATGGGTTCAAAATAAACTATTTACAAAGATGTGTATATCACGCAAAGAAGTACCTTTCAGATACTAACATTTTTCTCCCAGAATTGAACTCTCATTAAAAATATATCCCTTTCACGAAAAAAATATACCAAGATTATTATTTTTGATTTAAAATCATACGATTCACGATAGTGATAATTCTTGATTCATACTTTTTAAAATCAGAAGTAGAAATTTGTTGTATCATTTCCACGATATAGTTGAATCAGCATTAGTAGCTAGAAAATATCATTATCAATTATCAGCAACAGGAAATATTCATTCTCGAATTGCACCAGTATTTTTTTCTAAAGAAAATATAAAGACCTCCTCCTTATATGAAACTAGAATAATGTATTTTCAAAGTAAGAATTTTTTTCTGAGTGCTCAAGTATCAAGTCGCTTGTAAGTCGTTAAAACTTCACTATTAAAAACACTCTTTCGAACACCCTTGTACAACATGTACATACAACTGAAGCAATTTAATCAAAATATAAAACACATTTTGAAAGTGAACAAAAAATAAACTAACTAACTTTCATTCATACAGTTAGCATTCAAATTACTATTGATGTCGAGTCTTACCTGACTATTTATTGATTTATTTCTTTGACAGTTTCAATAATTTATACATACATACTGATATGTTAATTATTTTTGTGTGAATGAAAGGTGATTTTACTTTCTCTTCAACTTTTTTCACACAGTTTATTCATCATTATTTATCTATTGCAATATCACTCAGTGAGTTATCAATGAATATCAAAGATCTACTACATTAGTATGTATAACCCTGGTTGAATAATCATGTTTTATAATTTTCTCAGTTATTTGTGTATGGCAGCTGCAGCTGTATACATATTTTACTAATTATCAAATGTAAAATACGTAAATTTTGTATTCATTATGAATTCATTCGAAAGATCATTCACTTAAATCGAACGGGGTATATCTTTAGAAGATATTAGTTTTGGGGAAAGAAACGTTTTGGCTTTCTAGTGCTCCATCTTCAAACTTCAAACTTTAATCATCTTCAAAATGAGAAAAACTTGAAAAAGAGTTCATTCTGAAATTACTTGCCATTTTGCTTTCTTCGCAAGTTTTCCTCATTTTTTGTGAAACTATGTAGAAGTACAAAGTCAAAACTTTTTTCCTCCCAAAGTCAGTTTACTCCTTTTTGACAATAAAAGCTACGATGAACTGAATTCATTTCTTTTGTTTGATTCAGAATTCTCTATAACAAATATCCAATGTCAGTTTTTTTATAGACAGAAATTATGTAAAAATCTGCTCTTCATTCATAGTACGAATTCAGTGTGAAAATTTATGAAGGAATAAAAAGTGTAGACAAATATATTAAAAAACCTCTGACAGGTTGATTTTTATTTTCGAGAATATTTCTTTTGTTTTATATTTTTGTAATCCTCTCTAATTTCTGCTATGTACGTCAATCTCTTCAACATTCTGTATTGAAAGGAGGGGTTGTACCGTGTTTGAGAGGTTTAAAAATTTCCAATACCAACATTTATTCATTCATGATTTCTATGATACTTACTACCTGTAGTAAGTGGTATTAGCCAGGGGAGTAGTTGTTTTCTGATGAGTATCAGTCCATTAACCTACAGTGTAGGGAGTTGAGACTCGCCTGAACCCATTTTTCCTTTAGATGATCTGTTTCAGACATACTAACAGACAAATAGACGTGGCGGAGATGCAGTATCTCATAATATTCATAGATTTTGATTGATAATGTTTTTGAAAGACCGTTTTTACTTCTACAAAAAAAACTTTGATGGAGATAGGTATGGTGAGTAATGAAGGTGATTGCTTATTTTTTCGTAGTTTTGATAGTTGCCACGATGTTTCAAATTTCATATAATACAGCCTGAATGTCTTTCTTTCAAGATATCATTTTAAAAACCAGAGATACATCATCACTAATTTCTGAAGTAGTTTCGAAGAATATTTCAAGCCCTCATGTTTTATTCCCTAAGGAAAGGACTCACCTTTAGACTTTTATACAGGAAGTAGAAGATAATTTTGAAGGTTTTTATTTATATTTTGAATGTTAGCTACAAAATTTATGACTGTTTTTACCATAATACTGAGAGTTACGCTTGCAGGTTATTATTTGAACAGAATTTCTCCAAAAACCTCTTAGGTAAAATGGTAAAATCTAACTCTTGATCGCTTGATCTCTGGTTCTCCTTTTCTCACTGAGATAGTTTCTAAGATATTGATTGTATAAATATAATACGAAGGGTTGAAAAAGGGGTATAATGGGATTTTTTGTCAACCAGCTATAGCCTCCCTAAACAATCCTCATCTATGAGAATGCAATTTCTAGAATAGGGAATACCAACAGAAACATCAACTTTTTGTGGCTGTATGTCGATGTATGAACTCTTTTCGAAAAAATTGCGAGTTCTCGTCATTTCAATAACAACAATTTGGTTTATTCTCTTGCCATCCAGAAAAAGTAAACATTCTTCGTTAAAACGGTAAAGTAAAAATTTAGCAGTCTCCAATTCCATCAAAAGATTGGTCTCTCTAGCACAAAGATCTTTCGAAAGAATAATTCTGAAAATGTTCATATTTCTTTCAGTTCATAATTATTCTTTGTATCGAAATGATTGAAATTTATTTGGGTCGAAATAATTAAAATTTCTCATTAGTTCAATGTTTACACAGCGGTGTTATAGAAACAATCGTAAATGATGTTTCAAAATCAAAATCTGATATTTCAGAATCGTATGAGAAGCTCCACTCCCCAACATTGTGTAGATGATTCAAGGTCGAACAGTAATGGAACAATTTCGAAACATAATTGGTGAATTTGAAATATTGAATGATACTCATGAAGTGGAGTTGCAAATACAGCCACTTTCGGTTATTTGCTTTCTGTTTCATATACCTGAAATCTTGAATTCCAAATATTGTATCTTGAACTAAATAGATTGACACAAAAATGTAACTTAACTTTGTGATAAGAGTGTAGAGAATGGAATATGAGCGAATATTATTGAACTTCTCACTATCAAATGATTTCGAAAAAGTTGTTAGCTTCAATTCGAACTAATCTTCAGACCAGGTTAGGTTGGGTCCAAAGTGAGTGGGTCTATTCGACTATCCACTGCAACACGAAAGGGTTTATTGTGGCTCACACCCATTCACACTCGACCAAATAAACCTAGCTTCTCAACGAAGCCGATTACTTTGTATGGTGAGTGGTCGTTCAGCTCAGATGAAAGGAGAACGGCTCTGCCGAACTCTATAAAACTGATTCGGTCCCCAGCGGGGCAGGCACAAAGTATATGCCCTGCTGTTTCATCGTTAATTTGGTAGTCGGATAGTCAAGGTGCAAGATTCCCGCCTTGATGCCTGCGACAACCTTTCCATATGAGCGATTTTGCACGTCAGTTACACCTGACAATGCCTTAGATTCACCCGTGTAGGGCTTTTCAGCCTCTAGTTTTGGTGAATCATCACTTGCTAATCCGCTTACGAGAGGTTTGTTTCTCCACCTGAGACAGATTCTGCCTATGCTGCACAAGAATTTGGTGCAAGGCGATTTCATAAGGTACCCCGCTCTTGAGAAAACGACTAGATTGTTTCCTGGCTGCACCACCAAACCTTTTTTTTTAGGTTCAGTTATTGGATCAGGAGTTGGAGAGTTGAGAAGCTCTCGCTCCTGATCTAAATATACAGGTAGGTCAGTTGGAGTCGTAAGCTACACATCCATCTCCTCTGTAGACTCAGTGTCAGAAAGAATTTTTAAGTTTACTCTGTCCATAAAAGTTCCACGAGTTGCTAGGGAAAGAATGTCAATCACGGCAGAGCCTCGCATTACTGTAAACGACGAGAGGGTGCCGGTATCTCGAAGGTTCCGTAGAGACAGCTGATAGGCTCAGTGTCATTCATCTTCTCGGCTCGGATACACACACCTTAGGATTAAGCCATCGTTGGGATGCCATTCAGTTAGGAAATAATATCCCAAGCCCCACATCCCAAGCCAAAAACAGCATCTACAGTGGTTCAGGCAGTGAACGATGAACAAGGACAGCCGACCTGTCAAAACCAGGTTATGGAATTTTGTTTGAGTTCCTAAGTTTTTATAGTTGTATGATGTTGCAGTTTCATCAGAATATCAAGTATGCTGCCTTTTACTCATTCCATGTGTCTCTTTAAAGTTATGAAGTTCTCTATCCTGCCAGAAGTCGTTTTCCTATCTTCTTCTCGTACTGAAGAGGACGAAGATATGGGAATTACTTCATAGTATGCATTGGAGTTGCGTCTATTGCCTTGCGATTCTTCTGCACCGTTTGATTTTCGCAGTTCTCTTTTTTATCTTTGTCCATTAAACCAAAGATGAATTGTTCCACCATGATTTGTATCATTGTGTATATATGTGTGTGTATGTATCAGTAATATCCAAGTAGACCTCACTCTTTTTTCTTTTCGTATGTGTTGATTTAATTTATATACTGACTGAAAGGAATTTCATTGCTAAGGTCAGTTATTTCTCCCAAACTTTGGATGTACATATTTCTTCTTCCTTCTAGTGTATGTTTCAACCGGAGAATCAGAGTGGTTGATAGAACTCCTCGTGATCATTTCTATTCTTCTCGGGAATTGAATCCCAGCTATCAACAGGGCGTATCAACAACGATAGGTGGGTGGACGATAGCTGGTGCTCTAGTAGAGACACAAAAATTGTTTCGAAAAAAAGTAGTAGGGATTATCGGAAGCTATGTTTCAATGATTATTATTGATATACAGGGTATCCAATAAATGATAGACCAAACTTATTTCATAAAATACACCTTACAATTTGATCTTCATAAACATTATTTGAGAAATATTTCACGACATGTTTCGCTAACATAGTAGCTTCCTCAACAGTGATTGAACAGTGTATTCACAATTTCTGTCACATCCAGCCCAAATTTAGATCATATATTTTTTGGTTGACAATTTCATTTCGAGGAGAAAAAATTGTAGATTTCAATTATAAATTCACCTATTCAATAATTGAATGCGAAGATTTTTGAGAATCACTATAACATGCGAATGTTCCAATATAACTGAGGTGATCTACATTCCGAGCTGCTCTCAGCCAATAGAATAATATGCAGCACGATATCCTGATACCTACGATTCCAGATTTTCCGGAAGAGGTCTTCTAGGAAATAGAAAGAGTGCACAAGCAGTGAATATAACGTGCAAAAATGACATAAAAAAATCTATCGATGATTGTGTGAAAAAACGAAAAACGAAAAAACGAAAGAGTGCACAAGCAGTGAATAAAACGTGCAAAAATGACATAAAAAAATCTATTGATGATTGTGTGAAAAAACGCAACTGATGCATTTCTGCCGAAGCAGTAATGTCCCCTGACCTAATTTCCTTAGATTACTATTATTTTATTGAGGAATTAGTTGCGAGAAACCAACGAAAATAGGAAGAAAATAAATTCATTCAGAGAAGTTTTCTGTTCTATTGAAATATGAACAATGATTAGAGTTTAAAGAGAAATTGCAGATAGATTCAATTTATGACTCTTTCATATTTTCCTCAAGAAGTCAATCCCTACATTTTCTGAAAGCTCATTGTGTGAGCCTACACCCTACACCCTATGTATAGGATGTAGGGTGTTCCATTTGAGTAAACTCAACTCAAAACCCGAGTTTTGTTTACCCCTGTATAGAAAAATCGCCGTTCGGTAAACTTATGAAGACGAAATGAAAAAACACTATTGTAAGAGACATTTGGTTATAAACTTTTCCCATTCCATTTGATCGAGTGGGAGATATTTGGTGTTGAATGAACCCATTTTTTTGACATTGTTTCCACTATTACTTCTGAACCACCCGGTATGAAGAAATTCAGTCGTGTGAAAATATCTGGAGTGTTCTATTTAAAAAAAAACATTTGGTCTGTCACACAATTATTAGACACTCTGTATATCAGTATTGATTATCAAAACATAGATTTCATTGATACCCACAACTTTTTTCCGAAATATTTTTTTGTATCTTTCCTAGGGAAGCAGCTATCATCCACTGACCCATCGTTGATACACCCTGTTTAAGTGACATCGGCTTTTCTTTTCCTCATTGTTCTCGTTATGGAGTCAAGGATTACTTTATTTTTTTCCTATCCAGAATGGCAACAAAATATAACTTGGTCAGTTTGGAACACGATTTGATGAATAATTCTCAGCAGAAGATGGGAAAATTCAAGTAAAACAGAGCTCAAAAGTTTTTATTACGCTTGGCAAATATGCGTATTCATATACTTATTCACTTCAAGCCAGTGTTTCTACTTTTTTTTGACTTTCACTTAGTAGATATCAATATTATTGATTGTTTGGATATCAGATAGCTTTCACGACAGTTTGCGCTCTTGGTATCATTTTTTCAAAGTGATCCGAACCTATTTCCGAACCATCGTGTTGAAATATGAAGGTTTTAACAGAACGTTCGTCAAAATTATTTGTTTTTCAGGAAGAAAACTGATACACTCAGCTGGCAGATCATCTCCGATACAAATTCATCTCCAAGATCGTCACCACAATTCGTTGAAAAGAACTGTGACGTTAGAATAAATATTATGGTTTCGCCAAGGTCGAAACTTGGATGTGGGTAAGGAGCAAATTCTTTTATAGTTGTGTATTCAGTCGTTATTTCGAACATCGCAATCACAAACACTAATTACTATACCCCATGAATCTTAATGACCACACCAATGACTCTTAATGTTCACACAATAGGTATTCGAGAGGAACTTTGTTTTAAATAAGCTGAACGTATTGAAGAGGCCAATATATTTATTGAATATTATTATTAGTTGATATTGGTTTGAGTTGAATGGGCTGTTTTTTGATATATGCCATTTGGTATCAATATGATGACCCAATTTATTCTTTGCAGTTATTCTTGTTATTTATTGTACGATCTCATCTTAATCGTGATATTCTTCTTCTGAGATATTTTGGATCTGATGGATTTAGAAAAACACCGGTAACCACGACTTATTTCGAGATATACATACAGTGCGAACATAAAAAGTCCCCCAACTTCATAACTTTTGAACGGAATAAGATATCAAAGTTGAACAAAGCATACGTAAAATATTCATTTTTGATCCTGTCGTTCATTTCATTATTCGAGACTATTTTACTTTTGGAAATTGAATCAACCTTTCCTGAGTTATTGTCGTTTTATATTGGTTCAAGGAATTTGGGAAAGAAGACAAAAATATATAAAGGCATCGTGTCAGGTGATCTAGCGGGCCACTCTAAAGGACCAAGTCTGCCTATTTAGATTTTTGTAATATTGACAAACCCAATAACCCAAATGAGTTGTCAATCGATGTTACATTTCAGCAAAATGAGGTATCTCTTCATGACGACAGGCTAGTTCAAAAGTGACTACATTTCTGTTATGACATCTCAAGATGTTTCTGAGGAGATACGTGGCATAATCACAGATCATTTCAGAGATAGGAAGAAGTTGCTTTTAATGAAATTACCCCAGAAACATTGCTTTAAGAAATGAATTTGTAAACAGAATTCCTGATTAACAGGAAGTTAGTAACGAAAATTTTCAACATATATTGAAACAAACTGGAGTGACTTTTCAATATAGTTTGCTTTGAAATCATGATATTCAACATACTTTTGCAGATTCCTAAAGTAAATATAAAACTGCTTATTACTCAGGAACGGCTGATCTAATTTTCAAAAAATTAAACAGTATTGGATGCAGAATTGAAATACACATCAAACAAAGTATCAAAAAAGTCCTCATTTGATTAAAATGAGTTGGTGGCTCCCTCTCGCGACAAATGAGGCATTTCTCTTGTCTTGTTATTAAAGTCATTCTATGCAAAATCGCATGCAGAAGCTATTGTATGAAAAGATATTCAATGAATACTGCAGTAGAATCTACAAGTCGTGGACGTCGACTACGTTTCGACTCTAAATTGTACCCGTGTTAACCAGATCGTGGCGCTGGTTTCTGATGGTCGTGGATTCAATCCATCCACGAAAATTTCATCACATTTTCCATTTTCGAAATGGAATATATTTGAAATTATGTAGGAGAAATGCTGGATTTTCATGTTCAAGATGAGGTCATTGTAATACATTTTGCCATTATATAACTTTTCAGCTGTTCAGGTACGGGACTCAAGTACGGAACAATACAATCATTGGAACAATTGAATCAGTCGTTTGAGAAATCCCTCTTGATGAAAAATCATCGATATTGTTTTTTTTCGGATTATTTTGTATATCTTGCAGATCTACGTACTTCACTAGTACCGGTTGTTCTCCTTATTAGATTTTGTAACAATTTTTTGGTTTATCCCCAGTATTAGTTTTCGGACAAGTGGGGTTACTGTAATAACTAATTCAGTTCCTTGATAATTGCCTGTTTAGTGTATTGACAACATAAAAATTATAAAAAAAAAGATTATATTGTGCCTATCACAGAAAAAAATTAAGGACGGTTCAAGGATGAAATGGGCGAATTTTAAGGGTGGAAAATGTTTTTTCATGATTTCTTTTGGAACCTCCTAATGAAAGAAGTTGAATTTGAAGGTTGTAGGAAATATAGGGGCATACAACTTCTGTATTTACCATTTTCCACATAATCCGGGATTTCCCGAGAGGAATCGAAAAAACTAGATATTTGTTTTTTTTATTCTATGAAAATTATTCTCATATTACATATTTTATTACGTTCAACATTTTTCAAGTATATCAACTGATAATTTTTCTGAATCTTCAGAATTTTCAGACAAACTCTTCAGTAGTAACGTTAGTTTTCTTTCATGCCATCTGGAAGAAGACGATGAAAAGTACCATTGTATATTTTCAAAAAAATCATGTTTCTGGAAGATCAGTATTTTGGAGGCTGAATATATGTTTTAACACCAAAACAAAACGAATATTTCGTTTTGGAAAAATTATAACATCTTAGGAACACAAAAATGTGAATTATCACCGATTATCGTGAGAAATGAATTTTTTTCGTAAAATTTCAGGCTACGTAGAAAAATGGTTCAAAATTTACATTTTATACTTTTGACAGCTCTTTCATTTGAGTTTTTCAAATAAAAACCATGGAAACCATGAAAACCATTTTCCACCACTGATATTCATCCCATTTTATCCCAACAACATTAGATCGACGGTAATGTAATTGTTTCGTCATGAGCACACTATTTTCTCGTCCTCAGTACTATGTTCATGCTGTGTTAGCCTATAGGTGGAAATGCATGGTTCCAAACATTTTTCCAAAAATTTTCAAAATACTTACATTTCTTTCGATATCTCGATATTTCAAAATCTTGTAAAGTATTTCTGCCTGTATTGTGTCGAAAAATCATTGAAATAACTGAATTTCACCCAACGAGTGGGCTCCTGTAACTATATGATTCTAATTTCGAAAAAAAAACCAGAAAAATATACGTTGAAAATTTTGGAAAATATATGCTTTGGTTAACTACTTTAGTGAGCCAATAATTGGGTTGGGTAACGGGATTTATTTTTTTGTAAAAAAACAATTGGTTTCTTGCCAACGATTCAAATTTCATCTTCAGGGCTCTGTAACAATAAATTTTCATAAGTATATTTTCCACAAAACGTATACGATTATTATCGTTTCAATTTCACGAGAAATAATGAGTTCTCAAATGAATTACTAACCGAAAAGTAGTTTTTTCGTGTTGATAATTTCAATATTTTAAAAACCATCAGAAATATTAGATACATATTTAAAAAAAAAACATTGCAACAACCAAATTTTCGAGACAACACCAACAATAAACGACATTAACCAAAACGAATGGCTTTATCTTTGATTCTGATAAGGTGGTGTCTGTTTTTTAATCAACGACAGAAAGAAAAATGAAGAAAAAAGGGTAAATTATCCAGGTATTTTACGTATCAAATCGAAATATGCAGTATTGAAGCCATCAACATCTCTTATAGTGTTAACACTAGCGCATTTGAGGATATGTATCATTTCGCTCAAAAGTCTTTTGAATAAATATGGTTGAACATCTAGAATAGTTGGATGATTAAAATCAAATATTTGTCCATATCCTTTTTCATGTTCAACTAGAGCTATGGGGTTTTTCAAATTCAGTTTCTTAGACTCTCATGTGTTCTGAAACTCGTGTTTTAAGATACCGTCCGGTTTGACCAACATAGCATTTGTGACAGCTTCCACAGTTCAATTTGTACACTAATTGCTTTGGATTATTCTACTGTTCACTCAAGTGCGACGACTCCTTGATGATTCAATGTAATTTTCAACGATACCAACCAAGTACTTTTTGTGAGAACTCCTTATTAAAAAATAATACTAATTTATTCCACAGGATATGTAAAGGCCCTGACTGGAAGCCCGGAATTTTTGTTCAATTCACCAAAGAGGCCGGAATCGCTAGAGAAGCAGGCTTGAGGCCAGGTGATCAAATATTGCAGTGTAACAATGTTGACTTCTCCGATATTCCGTTCAATGAGGTATTAACTGTATTCATAATTATAACCTTATCTAGTGAAGTATCAAGCTAAAACTGATTTGAAAAAATTCATGAGATCATCAGCGGAATTGATGTTTTCTAGTAGAAATTTGCCAAATTATTCTTTTACTTTGTATTTTTTGAATCCTGTATTCAAAATTTTTATTTTCTCAGTATATGATCTTTTATGCGACAAATCACTTATGTGAGGAATGATAAACTATTTTGGAAAATGATGAGAAAACAATGTCATCTGTACAAATTCATTAAAATAATTGGACAAATGATGTTTCGAAAATAAAGTTGTACGGTGGACTCGGCTGCTCTAATTTGAGAGTTATGTTCTCTTAGGCGGGCCTTACATTGATCGTCGGATTCGGCTGCTCTTAATCGTTGCATACATCAAGTTAAGTTTTTTGGCGTTTCAAGTTAACGCTTTCATTGGCAAGTTCTTTATTTCGTTTCAAATTCTCTTTCTCTGAACTTCTTTTCCTTTATGTTGATGTTTATTTATTTCCCATAGTGTTCCCACGAGTACCGAAGAAATATTTGTCAACCCTCCCAGAGCTTCGTTTAGCAGGGTGAGAGCTAATATACAGCAGGGTGCGCTGCGGTGCCCTGAGGTGGTACGTTCACGACATCATTTTACACCCTGATGCCACTGAGTCCTCGGCACGGCCTCACCTTGACTTGGGTGGTAATTTGGTGAAAGATGCGCCACTTTTTTCAACTTAGAGCTTACTCGTGCCTGACGAAACACCGTTCCGGGTTTGATTTTGGAGTTTTCCTTCTCCTAGACGAGTTGCAGACCAATGCTAATGACGCCCATCTCACTAAATCACACAAGTCATGGTATGCCTCTTGTGCCTGTTGCGCCTGTTGCTCACATTGCGCGATGGACCTTCTTACTCTGGGAACTTGGAGGGTGGTAGATAATAATATTTTTTTACAATGCAAATGAATATGGGTTCTTACAGTAAGTATTTAAAGGTAAAAGCTTGATTTAATTTTTTTCTGGAAATATATTTTCTTTATTGAAGCCAACCCTGGATGTGTCATCTATTTCATGGTGGGCCTACCAACTGCCTATTATGAACAAAATTTATTCGTATATAAAATTTCGTGTCCCTGCTATTTACCGCTGAGGAGATCTCTCGTACGGAGCCGATTCTGGCAGCAGCATCAGGCCACGTTTATGATCAACATGCATTGTCATCGGTTCTGGACCAGCATGCAAAACTTCAGGTCAATCGGATACCGGGAAATGGGTCAAATTAAGCTTGCAAGATTTGTTAACATACATACAAGTCAAGTTGAATCAAAGCTTTCAAAAATGAAATGAATTTTCATTCTTTTCAAAAATTTTTATTTATTCATCAATTTCTATTCTCTTCCCTTCGAAGTAGTCCCCCTCAGACATAAAACATTACTCTATGGAATTCGAAAAAAATAGTGAGCAAAACCTTGACATTTGATCAAACTTGGCATGCTTTGTTTGGTCTTGGCTCTCCTGGGAACTTCCATTGGACTTTGGTATCGATGTCATAACCATATGTTCATGATTCATCACCAGTTACGACTATTCTAAGCAAATCTGGATCGCCTTTGACGTTATTCAACAATTCCTAGGCGATGCTCTTGCGACGGTTTTTTTGGTAAAAATTCAGTAATTTCGAAAGGAACTTCGCTGCCACATGCCTCTTGCCTAAAATTTCCAGAAAAATTACATGGCATGAGCCAACCGATATACCGACATCTTCAGCAACTTCTCTAATAATGATTGGACGATTCTCTATAACAATTTTTTTCACTTCTTCAACATTTTCATCGGTTGTTGATTTGGTGGGGTATCCAGGACGAGCGTCGTTATTCACATCTCGACTTTCTGTGGAAAGCTTGTACCACTTCAAACATTGTTCTGACTCAAAGTACAATCAACATTTAAAGTGTATTTGAGCACACAAAATTTGATGCAAATTCATTGATTCATTTTTTTCGATAGCAAAAAATCGGCAATCACTCAAAACACTTCAAACTTTTATCCCTCTCACCAACAAAATAATAATAATCATAATTTTTATTCCAGTCAGATCATATTCACATGATATTGGAACAGTCACAGACATAATGTATACATACAATCAGATGAAATGACAATATTGGAAGGTTGTAATAATACCTAGGTAATCCAAGTATCATAACTCACATTAACTTTTAGCTTATGAATATGTCATAGTAATATTCATTACATAGAAATTTTTTAAGTTTTTTTGTGAAAACATTGACGTTGTCTTCCAATCTTATACAGGCAGGTAGATGATTTAGAATTTGAATTCCTCTGTATATTGGTCTTCTCTCATACAGACTAGTTCCATGTTTAGGAGGCCTAACAAGTTTTGAGAATGGAGTTCGGTAGTCGTAATAATTAATCAGAATTGAGAGAAAAGTTATGATAATTACATTTTCCATATAGAATGCATTTGGAGATGTAACTAGAGTAAAATGTGAGAATTACATGTTCTTTGATTACGACATGTTTCTCTATAGTCTAGGCTGAACATTGGTCGTATAATCCTGTTTTGAGAGACGAAGACCCCACTGCACCACCCCATAGAATAATGGGAATGAACGATAGCATAGTAAATGCTGATCAACTGACTCGTCGAAAAAATATTCTTCAGGTGCAATATAGCAAAGTAACTACTATTCAATTTCTTGCAAATGTGATTGACATTGCTATTCCATCCCATATCATTATCCACAAATACTCCTAGAAATTTGGTGGATGTCGCGAAGGGGATTTTACTATCATTAACTGAGATTCTACTAATATGAGATATTTCATTTCTGGTGGAAAAGTGCATACAAACTGTTTCAGAGAATTTCTCCCACACCACGAGGTCAATTCCTTTGCCAGTATATTCATTTTTGCAATGAGCTCTTCAGACGTTTCTGCTTCCGTTGCTGAAGTGGTATCATCAGCATATAGAATTGTTTGTTTAGTGCTGACGTATTTGGGAAGATCATTTAAATATAGTAGTGACAGTGACAGTGATTGAAATTGTGAGAATGATGCATAATTAGGCTCTGTACTTGTGATGTACTGTTTGGAACCATGGTGTATTAATAAATATTACTGTAATTTTATCCCAATACCAAATCGTTATTTCAACACTTCGACACGTGTTTCGATCACCAAGTGATCATCTTCAAGAGGAAGATCAAACCGTTTGATATTCCTCATGAAGATGATCACTTGGTGATCGAAACAAGTGTCGAGGTGTTGAAAGAACGATTTGGTGTTGGGAAAAACTCCTGTGATATTAATTAGGCTCTGATTCGAGATTAAAGACATCTGGATGTTGATTCCATGACTGTAAGTTTTATTGCTGTCATATCTATCGCTTTCTAAAAGAAACGTGAAACTCTGTTTTGGTGGTCTATACAGCCTTCAATATTTTCATCACTTTATCGCTTACAAGAAAATAATCCCTATAAAACTCTTTTAATGCTGCATGGCCTACAACTGTTGCATCGTTTTTACGCATATAGGAACTTTTTGTTCAAGCGGGATAACTTTGATTTATGAATCTCACTTGATGTCTATTCATTTAAGATTTCAAAAGATTCGTATACACAATTATATGAATATTTTCTAAATAATTCCACTTTGTCAACGTCTCATTAATTTTTTTCGTCATCGTAAGCCCAGTTGATATTCAAATATCATTTGCACTCTTTCATAAGTATAATTTTTGTTTCACAATGAAGTAACTGTGGTATCATAACGTAATTTTCTTTTTGTTGCCTATGAAGAGAAAGGGCAGAGACGGTGCCACTTTCTTCCAACTAAATTATTTAATACAGAATACGCAATTAACACAAAGAGAAGAAAGTTAATTTTTTAATTGTAGCGAAAATCATATGTGAGACAAATACTATCTTTTGGGTAATTGGGTTCCGTTGAGAATTGGTAAATATCATTATTCGTTCTAGCTAACCGAATGTTCTGGTTACTCAATGAGAGTGGTGTAATTGTTACAAGAATATGCTATTGTGTTTATTAATTTCCAACGTTAACAGATAAAATCTGATGAGGTAATGAAGAAAACTATGTTCACCGTTTTAATTCAACGAACTTGTTTTCGAAAATGTATGACCTAAGAAGAGAACCATATTAAAATTGACAGATACATATTTTAAAAATATACTAGTCATTGGGGCAATGGTATGTCAATCAATAGTATGACAATAGTATGACTAATCAACAAGTTCAAAAACATGAAAAATAGAGATAAAGGTCCTAAAAATATTAGCGATAGCTCAATCGATTCGGAATCACCTGTAAAAAAATGATTTTGAAGGATTTTGGTGCAGGTAAAAAATTGCAATTGTTATTAACAAAATAAGAAAAAAATGTTATTTAGTTTTTCGTTGATAACTCAAAAAATGTTAATATTTAAGCAATTTGGAAAGGAGCTCGTTAAAGGGGAGGAAATTTTCGATAAAAAAATTCTGACTCCCGAAACTCTACCTCCATTATTTATAATTTTGATTTGACGTTGAAAATAGGGTTTCGCGCGGCTGTTACGACATGCGCGCTATGCCGCTAAAGAGAGTTTATCAAAAGAAATAATTTTTTTATAACATAAAATGTCATTTTCAAAATTTGAAAAAAATCTAGTATTTTCTTAACACTGGAATAAATCGAGTCCCGTAGGAAAAAAAGTTTTTCAAAAAGTTATTCAATTGTTAACTAACAAATTTTTTCCCAATCTCCGTTGGCATAAATAATGGGATAAAAGGTATAAATAAATAATTGGCCTATAAATTTTAAACTTCGTGGAGCCCTTTTGATATATATACTTCATACGATCCTGCGATAAAAGTTCATAAAAATTTATCAATTTGTTAATTATGACTTTTTAAAACTATTGCAAAATGAAATATCTAAAAATTGTGATAATTTTGTTTTCTATTTGATTTCTATGTCTGTTTTCACATTGAACAATGGTGTTTATTGACATAGGATATGAATTTTTTACATAATTTGTTTATTGAATTGTTTTAAACTAATAGAGAAATTATTTTGCTATTTTTCCTTTATCTCTATCTTTCTCGTTTTTGAACTTGTTGATTAGACTATTTGGCTTTGAATACCTCTATCTTCATAAAAAATTTGGGAGGGATGAAAGCAATTCAGTTCAAAATAAACTTTAAACAAACTCACACATCAGAATATTACTATTCATTCGAAATGAGCACTTTTGTCAACGTAACACAAGTCGATTAACTCGATCAGAATTAAATTTGTGTACTCGGGATTTGATGAAGTCGAAGAAGGCCGTTTTCAACTGGTCCTGATTGGCGAAGGTTCTACAGGTGAGAAAGTTATCGAAGTGTTCGAAAAGATAATTATCGGTTGACCATAGGTCTGGGGAGTATGGTGGGCGAGGCAGAACTCCGACGCTCTATTTGTTTGATTTTCGGACGGGAATTTGTTAAACGTGCGGACGGGCGTTGTCGTGAAGCAAGATCGTATCTCTTCTGTTGACCAGTACCGGCTGCTTCTGACGCAATTTTTGGTACATTTTGTTGATTTCCTCACGATTGGACTCTGCTGTGACGGTATGGCCCGATTGCAGAAAGTTCTAGTGAATCACAGCAGTGATGGGTTTTTTGCCAGTTATGGCTCATCGGTGTCCAACCACTGTGCTGAACGCCTCCTGTTGAAGAGGATCCACTTTTCATCATACGTGACGATCCGAGTTGTTTTGGTTTCGCAAAAGCTAAGAAGAACAGACCTCGTAACGTGACAATTTCTGTCGATCGTTCATAACGTGGGACACCCACTTCATGACCTTTCCAACCAGTAATCCAACGTCCTGGATAACTGTAGATCGACCGCTTCGGGGCTCATCTTCGAGGCTAAAATCTCCAGTATGAAATTTCGCAAACGAACTTAAACAGTGCGTTCATTAACAATATCATTGCCAAATGCTTGGTTGATTTTTTGGACTGTTTTTGCAGCGATTTGAATTCGTAGAGAAAAATTGGCTGAAACTCGTCTAACAAACGGCATCATATACCTAGTAATAAGGTGAAAAAAGGCCAAAACATTTTTTGGAATAAAACGAACACAATCATTATTAATCTATCGATCAGTATATATCAGGACACAGTAAAACGAATAACTATTGAGATATTGGGCTACAAAAACACATGACATGAAAAGGACAAAACTTTTTAAACAACTTTATATAAAGATGGAGAAGTAGAAAAAAACCATTCCTTCCAAGAAACCGTATTATAATTGAAAGTAAATTCAATCTTATTGATTGAGTGGAGCAGATATAGTGTTGGACTCTCAAAACAGCTACTTTTATAGGAACATCAAGCTACTAAAAAATATTTTCCTTTAATTTAATGTTCATATGAAAGTGTTTTTCTTTTAAAGATGATAATAGAGAAATAGAAAACCGAAAATTTTTCACTTTTGGTTTGTGACGCAACACAGCCAGTGTTGCCAAATAATTTTTCTTGTTTAACAGTAGATTTTGCGACAGAAAAATAGTCGAATATGTGTTTTAATAGGAACATATATGATAGTCTCAACTATATGATTATTGCAGAAAGTAAACTGAGACATCAGTATATTTCAACTCTCAAATAGTTTACCATGAGTAAGAGAGACAAAACAGGAGATCTAGTGCAAAAACAATAGACTTGGCAACACTGAACACTGCGCAATCGTCATGCGATTTCTTTTTCATCTGTAGTGGATTGATTTGCAATATTCCATGTAACGCGCTCGCATATCTTTGTGATGAATATTGACAACTTATAAACCAGACAATTTTTTCCATCCTGGTGGAGATGGATGCGTCAAATAAAAAAAATCAAGAAAATGGATCCAGCCTTTTCCCCCACGCAACAAGGAACGTGTACATGAATGTCATAGAAAAATTCAATTTTCTCTAAAGTTTAGATCATTTCTCATTAGTCATCATAACTTTTTCATAAAAATTAAAACAACAATAAAAATTAATTGGCGTTCCGGGGCGACTTCATTGATTCCGGTGGCGCATTTGCTTTTTCAGCTGCAGGAAAACCCGGAAAAACCTGCAGCACCACATCATCTGAAGATCTTGATCTGCCCATGTCTTCTCTCTCATAAAACAAAATTCAAGGTGTCTTCAGAGGCTCCAATAGATTCAATACATCGCCAGAACACTTAGTGACACGACTATCGTCAAACTTAAACCTGTTCGTTTCGTCTTTGACCAATGCGTAATAGTGACCAGATTCAACGCCATAACCACAGTGAACAATGACTGCATGAATACTATAATAGTGGTCTGATAGATTGAAATGTTCATCTATTTCGAACCTTCGAAAGAGTTTCTTGCTTCCGTCAGAGGTTGAGTCTTGTTTGAAGATCATCATTGTTATAATTAGAGTGACTGGTGCCTCAGATATACTTGTTTCCTTATAATAGTCAGTTAGTTTGGCGCATGTTTGGCAATAAAGTCGATCATTACCTGTTAACAATTTCATTTTCAGATGATTTAACAATAACCTTTGCACGGACTGGTAATTAGTCATATTAGGAAACGGTAGATGAAATTTCAGAAATTCACATAAATTTTCGCTAACTTTTGAACATTTACTACAAAATAAACAAGTGAAGATTTTTCCAGCGAAAGATTTACAAACTCAAAACGAGATGGACTGTATGGGAATCATTCAATCCAGAGTGGTCAGGAGTATTGATTTTGCTATCGTTTTGCTCACGAAGAGTATTCAACAAGAACCCCAAGAATTCGGAACAATCCACTTGTTGTCCTATCGAGAATCTAGTGGACTTCAAAGAATCCAAGAAATCGGTTGGAGGCAAAGATGATACATTCTTACGAAACTGCAGCTGCATGAATAGGTGTTTGAGTTTGATCAATCCTGTTCTCGTTCATCATCAAAACCTCGTTCTTGAAATTCTTCGTCATGAATAACACTTGTAAAATGCTATTCATGTAGTATTATTATTATATTGTATATTATATTACATTATAGCATTGCTCATTTTTCATTACAGGCCGTCAATCTGATGAAAAACTCACGTCAGCTGGATTTACTTGTAAGAAAAGCATCTAATGCTGAGCTGTTCCCAGGAGAATCAAGCGGTTACAACAGTTCAGCTAGTTCAGTAACAGAGGATCAAAGTCCACCTTGGGTAGACCCTAAACGCCTTTCGATAGTCAAAGAAGAAAACCAAAACTTAGACGAACGATTGAACAATCATAGGAGATTGCAGAAAACAGGTGAGTCTTGTACACATTTTGAAATAGGAATTGATTCCTTGATGGACCATAATTTCATCCAGATTTATCCACTTCTGTATCTGTATCTGTAGAGTAGGGAGGGTGAGTGTAAGCCCACAGCACTCAGGTCACATGTGACCTATTGTACATTCTCCCAAGAAGTTGACCTCCTAGGTCATCGCCCATCCTGTCCTTTCCAGGAAGGTGGACAGTTAACTAGGAGACATCCCCTTTATATCGGCAGGTGTAGGCCAAGACTCGCCGAACACACACTCTCTTATTGACGATAACTCATGACACTCTTATAGGACATGCCTACGAGTTTCATCTTCCTCTTCACACTTCCTGCATAGAGGTGTGTCCACTAGTCCCATATTGTGGAGGTGTTTCTTTAGTTGACAGTGGCCAGTCAGAAATCCTACTCTTAAGCGTAGATTTTTCCTGGTTATCGCCAGATATTTCTTCGGCACCAACTTCTCAGGGTCGCCCAGGGTGATCTTGGCAAGATTACATACTTTGATTTCATCCAATCTCTTTAGGGATTGAGCATGAGTGTAACATTTGGTTAGTTTCGCAATTGTCGAAGTCATCAGGCCGTAGGTGCCACTGAGTACTAAAATTCTTAGTTTTTCTTACAGTGATGTCTTGCATTTAATTGCATTACATTTGTACAATGTTACAATAAGTTACAGCGTAAAATCAAATTAGTTTTCATAAATCATCAGTACCTTGTCATAAAATTTCTCTTCGTCTTCAGAATTGAGAAAAATGTTATCAATTTAGCAGTTGTTGATTGACTTCTGGTACATTCGATGCAGTACACTGTTCTCTGATATTTGTCTGTTGTGATTTCTCCACTATCCATATCTTTCTTGGAAACGAGTAGGCAGGTAAGATCCATTTCTGAGGGGCTCTTTGAAATACATTCCTCTCCGGTATGAGGATATACACGGATTCTTTGAACTGAAGTCTCTCAAAGTGTGGTTCATTGGCAATCATTCTCATCTTGTTCTATTCAGTTCGATGTTAACCGTCTGATGTGATGTTTTCTGACAGTTTTGATCCTGTTGATTGTCTATTTCTGATTTGAACTGGATGTTTACGCACTTGAAGTTTCACCAATATAGCTTTCACAACAAGAAGAAGGTATCTTATATAGAGTCTTCCAACAGAGACAAAAACACACTTTAGTCTATTTCCTACGATATTTCTTCATTGTTGACTAGTTTCGGCCATAACACCACCATTTTCAAAACTAACTAGATTACCCCTCATGCCCCCTCCCGGGTTGTGTGCCCAGGTCGCAAGCTCCCTCCTTATGGAATTGCTTCCGCAGGTTTGGACCTGGCGACCCTTTCCTTCCACCCCCGTTTCTTAAGGAAACGGTCCTCAATCCAGCTGCTAGGCACTTCAGCAATATTGATATCTAACCTCTTTTGGTTGGAAACCAGCCTTTAGGTGCTTTTATTTCCCTATCTAACTTCTCGTTTTAAATTTATTGGCTCTTATTTGTCGCGGTATTCCTAACTGAAATCAATTCAAATCTACCCACTTTCGAATCAAATTCCAACCCATTTTTTATTGCAGCCACCTCCCCATGTAAGGAGTGGAACTTATCTGAATGGGATGAAGAACCTCAGGAAAAGAATGTTTTCAAGCCCACAATTATAAACTTATCCGAAAACGGAACTACGATAAAAAATAATGGAACCGAGTGCCAAACAATTGCCCATGATACGGAAAATGAAGATAATGAAGAATGTCAAGTGAGTATGAAAATTCTTGTGTTGGAATCAATAGTATATGAGTGTCGGTATGAGGTCATGAGTTGACTTTTCTTTCAAATGAAATGAGTTCAAAGTTAACTACCTCTTATTGCCATGCAAACTACAACCCTCGAAATTGGAAACTGTTTAGCGTTGTCGAGAATTGACAAGGTCTTTCTTTTTAAGGGTGATATGAATGGTAGTTTCGTAGGACGTAATTTCACTTATATATTGACAAAATTTTAATGAGGTTATGAGTTAACTTTTTTTCCAAATAACATGAATTTGAAGAGATTTTTTGCTAACTAGCTCCTATCGCCCTACAAACGGAAATGAAAACATTTGAGCGTTATTGAGAGTTTAGGATTAACAAGGCCTCACTCTTCAATATCTGATCTAATCTGATAGCTGGTGGTATTATGAGACGTTATTTCACTGAAATATTGACAGAGTTTTCCATTCCTTGACAGTCAAATTAATTTTTGAACCCAAATGACTATGAATATATGGGACAAACATCCATATTTTCCCAGGTTCGTTTAACATAATATGGAGAAGGAACACTGGAATACACCAAGCAATACATACATGTGATGAGTGAAACTGGGACCATTTCGATGATTGGTAATGTGAAAGTGAAATGACTCTCAATCCTCTGTTTTACAATGAATCTGAATTCATCAAATAAGAAACTATTCTTTCATGAATGTTCCATGACTTTTGTTTCATTATAAAATTATTTTTGAATATCATTCGTTGACAAGGAAACTGAAGGTGAACACTACATATTGTTTCATGATTTATATATCTATACTTTACACACAATGGAAAACTTCATTATGATAACTCTGAAACAACGCCGTGAAAATTCTCAGCTTTTATTGATTTTCCATATCCTACAAAAGAATATTTTTCTAAAAGTACTTGTCACCAAAGATCTCAGTGTACCCAATACGTACGATAGTGGCGATCTAACGCCACTTTTCCTCAATGGTGAGGTTATTCTATTTGGGTCGGAGGTGAAATATCTCAGCATTGTCCTTGATAAAAAACTCACCTGGGACGCTTACTTAGAAAAAGTTTTACACAAAGCCAGACTATCCCTATGGACATGTCGAAGGATTTGTGGTAAAACTTGAGGTTTAGGTCCCAAACAAATCCATTGGATTGTTTGTCAGACCAATGATCACTTATGGTGCAATTGCCTGGTGGCCGAAGGCTTTACAGAAAAATGCCCAGGCGAAACTCTGTGGCTTATAGAGACAGGCTGGTCTGGCCATCAGTGGTAACATCAGTACCACACTGTCAGCGGCCAAGGAGATCTTTCTAGATCTACCTCTTCTCCACATTTTTCTGAAGAGAGAGGCTAGATGGACTTGCACATTGCCAATTGCACAAATCAATTAAATGCAGAGTGCAATAGACTGTTGGTTGACACTGGAAGTCACAGGATTCCGGAAATGACCTCTGACTTTATACTTCCAACTGTCAACTACGAACTGTCTTATAAAGTACTGTTCTCGACTAGAGAGAACTGGATCCTCCGGGAGAAGGGAATATGAAGAGCAGATAGTTGTTGGTTCACAGATAGATCAGAAACACATTCAGGTTCTGGTGCAGGTGTTTTCAATCGCAGCCCAGGACAGATATATTAACCAGCATAGGAACCTATCTTTCACGATTGGCTAACTCCAAGGCGTTCATTCAACCTTCAAAGCTTGATACCAAACAGTTGTTGGACTATAGTAGGGACGAACTACTATGTCTAACATGCCTTCTTAGAGCTCACTGTCATTTGAATCATCATATGCAGAGACTTGGACTGTTGGAAGACAATGTATGTCTCAAAGATGTTTCTCATCCTTTCAACAGCAGGACTAGTCTGATTACAATCGAGTAGATGCAGTAGATCATATTATACAGACCGGTTCTGAGGTATCATATCCTGCCAGCATAGAAAAGTTTCAACTGAAAGAAAAAATACGCTGTCTGTTTAGGAAATGAAGTGAATTTTCATTTCTCTCACAAAAGAATTATTTTTTTATTAATTTCTAATTTGTCCCCTTCAAAGTATTTCCTCACAGATATAATATACGCCGTACTTTCATGGATCATTCGAACAAAAAAAGTCACAGGGGTCCAAATCTGGTGGATACGATAGCTTATGCATGATTACAGTGTTACACCGAAAAATTACGAACAAGCAATGACTAGTGAGCCGGTGCATTATCGTGATATTGGAACCATGAATTGTTTTTCCACAAAACCTGACGTTTTCTTCGTATTGGATCTCGCAAGCGGCGTATCCAGGGCGAACGTCGTTATTTACAGCTTCTCGACCTTCTGTGAAAAGCATGTACTGACTGACTCAAAAAAAATATAAAAAATTGCTAATCGACGTGGCCTGCGAAATTGGACATTCACCTTATTTTTTGAACAGTCCGTGTCCTGTTGGTGAATTAACGTTCAACGTGGTATTAGTCGGAGAAGTACTTGTTTTTTGGCAGACATCTACGAGGTAGTACTATGAGGGAATGTTGAGAGTAAATGTTTGAGAATATTCAATTCTCAAGATGCAAGATCGAACTTACCATAACTATATTTCAAACATTCAAATCAACCACTGCTTCTCAGCAAATATTTTTTACCATAATACCTAATGTTCAACAATAAAAATTTGTTCAAGTAATCTAGATCTAGTTCAATATCAGCCCGTAGATGGCAGTAGGAATTGTCTACAAATTCTGACCACTTTCACCGTGAGGAGAGTTGGACACACACACACACCTGTGTTTGTTTTCAACAAAGAAATAGTCAAGAAGGAGTAATGCTTGTACACTTGCATTTGATGGAACGTTTTTATAGATCTAACGACTTCTTGACCAATATCCTTTTCTATATGACCATGTTTTTGACTATTACATTTTCAAGTCGCAGTACGTGTCATAAACATAGACAATATTTGATTCTTTGATTGTTTAAGGTGCCACCACAACAGGATACCAAAATTGTCGTTGACGTACATAGGAGTAATGAAGAGGATACCAACGATTGCTCAAACAGGTTAACGAAGAGTCCTTCTGGTAGTAGCCTAACCAGCAAAGCTAGCTTTACCAGTGCTGCCAGCAATAGTTTGTCGTCGGCTCTTTCAATGGAAATATCGCGACGGGTGAAAGTGAGTATGTCTTGGTATAATTTGTAATCGATCACTGATTTATTTTCGTAATCGATCACTGGTTTATTTACGTAATCGGTAGCCGCAACTCGAATTTCAATACTGTGCCTTCAATACTGAAGTTAGCACCGGAATTAGTTCAACCCTACTATCATTCAAAGTAAAATGTACCATTGGAAGTCAACATGATTAGATACTCGTAGAGGAATATTTATCTACTTCAATGCTGTGAAAGTTTACATTTATAGCAAGTCAGTGATAAAAATTATACAAACCATTGTGGATATACATATAACAGGACACAATAGATGAAATATCATAGTACAGCATCATCCAGTTGGTAAATATATAATTTTGAAAGAGTTGACAATGAATCTGACAGCTTCTTAGTGTAATATAAATACCTTGCGATGATGAGGTCAATTGCCGCAAAGCATGCTACCATAACTGAGTTGTGATGAGACCCTAATAACTTTTCAGTTTTGGCAAAATTTTTCCATTGTGGATATAGATAGGTGTTTTGGGAAGCTTTTTACGCGAACATTCTACATGAGCACGACAGTTTGAATTGTCGTTCAGTGTGATACCAACTACATTAGCTGAGTAACCATTGGTTAAGGTATGATTCGTAAGGAAGTTTCATTTTTGGGTTTCGTCACAACAGTACAAATACCGTACTGTTCGAATTTTTCAATAAGAAACTTCAAAACTTTCAACAATGTTCTATACAAATGTATGTATAGCATCTGATGTACAAAGATTCTTTCTGAAACCGAATTGAAATTCAAGAAAAAGATTATATTAAAAAAAATATTGCTCGGTTTCTCAAAATAATAATCTTATCAATCACTGAAACTGAAGAAATATGTCGATGATTATCTAGACTTTTGGGCCACCCTATAACTTTTGGAAAAAGGCTTTACAGCTGTCAGACTGAGTCATGGCCGGTGAGAGGCCCTTCTCTACGAATTTGCTTCTACATAAACTGGTTTTCATATATCTATAAGAACCAAAATGGCATTTCAATAGCCATTTATTGTTTCACCACTTAATCCGTACTATGTAAAATTGCAAATAAAAGTTTCTATTCCCTTTTTCCTGATACTTTCTTTGTCATACGCCTACCCAAACTTTATGCAGATACGATTTCTCCCACTGGCCATGATTCAGTCCGGTAGCTGTACTAAAGCACAAGTTCAAACTGTGCAATCCAGACAATTTAACAAAGAACATCTTCTTGAATCTCAAATTTTATAAGAATAATTTTTTTAACTTTTAGGTCAATATTTTTGTTGTATTATTTCATGAGTTCGTTTAGGATTGAGTGGAAGAATATTTTCTGTAGTGTTTTCACAACAGAAAACTTCGCCTCATTATCGAACTTTAAAATCGTCACTCGATTCGTTTCAATAAAATCAAAGTATTGAAAGTCAATAATTCACGTTGGAATTCTCACGAAAATTAAGAAATTGAGAGAAAAAATTTGTGATTATAAGATAGAAACGGTTACTTTAGAAAAGGTTACTTCAATCTGTGATTGGGCATTGTAGCCCAATTACAGACTTGATAACTGAAGCTACCGCCACACTACAACGAGAATATACATCATGGATTGAAGTAATGACGTCACAGATACCCAGACCATTGATATCAAGAATTTACATCCTAATGAAGGCGTGTACATAGTAGTAATACACTGCAAAACTTTGAACGAGTTTTTCTCGAAAACCTGTTTAATGGAGGTTTTAGCCATTTCACAGCATAGAAAAGGTATCATGTTCTAGAAAAATGTAGCTTCTGGAGAAGACGCAAATGACGGAAAGTCACAAAGATTGACAACAATAACGAATTATTGACAGAGTTTTCACATGTAATAATACATCAATCCACTTTTTTTTTACATTTGTTTCTGAATTTATTATTTTCCATATGCTTTCCATGTTATTATTGAAACATTTTTTTAGGTTACGGTTTTCCTATATTTTTCATTTGATAATTCTTGAAAGTGAGTTCATCTTCATTTCTACTAACATCATGTACAAGTTTCATTGCCCCATTTATAATTATCATTATTCTACAGAATAGAGCTGCGAAGGTGGAAGAGTCAATTGACGAACTACTACAAAAAAAGAAAATGCTCAACGGAATAAGTACAGACCAGCAGTACCAACACAATAAATTGATGAATGAATTCAAAGAGGCTCACCAAAAAATGTTCAAGTCCCCCAGCGAGTTGGAGTGCTCCAAAAAAATGACGGCTTTGGGGAAAGAAACAATGGTGAGTATTCCATAAGTTGTAAGACTACTTTCATTATCCCAAAAAATTCTAAAATGTGAAAGGTAGGCCTACTGTCATGAAAGGCATAATAAGTTGGGATCTTGCAATTATAATGATATTTCACCTCATAAAGGTGTTCAAAGAAGAAAACATCTTAGCAATCCTGGATAAATAAAAAATTCCAATGCAACAAAGGTATTTTGAATTGGAGAACATAATTTTCATTTATTTTTTCATCCTAGAAACAACTAATATTCGAAGTAATACCTCAAAAATCATCAAGAACAGTATCCGCCCAAAAAGTTTCCTGGATAGATAGATAGATAGATTTATTGATCCTTTTTGCTACATAATGTGTAGATGGGATAAGTCATAATTGTAGTTATAAACATGCATACATATAAACATACAAAGGTATAAACAAACATATAAATAAAATTCTAGGTCTAGATAGAATGCAAGTAAACTAGGTTTCACAATAAAAATAATGTTGTCCAGGCATCATATAGAATCCTATATAATAATATCAATAACATATATATAAAATATAAGATCAAATAAGATGTGGTACAAATACATTATTTAAATATAAATAGAAAAAATAGGAAAACTATGAATCACCAGCTTGCTTAGAAACAATAAATTCGTCTACTGTGTAAAAACCCTTTTCTGATAAATAACGTTTCAATTTTTTTTTGAAGATATGAGGAGACAGAGTCTTTATATCGTTTGGCAGTAAATTATACATTCGAATGCCGGCATATTTAGGAGATTTTTCATATTTTGCGTGATGGTGTTTTCGTGTTATGATCATATCTTTTCTTCTTATATTATAGCTATGCATCTCTGTTTTTGTTTGGAAAAGTTGTTTATTTTCATGTACATATGTCAATGTTTTTAAAATGTACAGACTTGCAACTGTCAATATTTTATTTTGTTGGAATATATTTCTACATGAAGTTCTAAAGTCTAAATTAAATATCAACCTCAGCAGTGCTTTTTGTTTTATAAAAATCCTGTCTGATCCAGTAGCTAGTCCCCAGACCGAAATGTTCTGATACATGATCGAGTGAAATTTGGCATAATAAACTGATATCAGTGAATTTGTATCTAACTTGCACTTAATAGATTTTATCAGATAGTATGATTGATTCAATTTCTTACATATATAATCTATATGTTCTTGCCATGTGAGGAGTGAGTCAACCATAGTTCCTAAGAATTTTGTCGAGCTGGTCAGTTCTAAAGGTTTATTTTGGAAACTGAGATTGAGATTATGTTGACTTCTCGATGAATTCGCGAATTGCATGTAAACCGTTTTGTTCTGGTTGACAATGAGTCTGTTCTTGTTACACCACCAATTAAATTCGATTAGAACAGCATTTACCATTTGTGTCATATCGTCAGATGTTTTATTAGAAAGAATGATAGACGTGTCATCTGCATAGAGAAATATTTTTCCATGACTTATATTGAGAGGAAGATCATTTACATATAATAAAAATATTAGTGGCCCAAGAACGCTACCCTGAGGGGTACCTGTTGTAACTGAAAATTTATATGACTTGATATTATTCTGCTTCACCTGGAAACATCTATTCGCCAAAAAAGAAACAATTAATTGATTTACATTACCACGAATCCCAAGGTTGAAGAGTTTGTTTGCTACAAATTTAGAATTCAAAGTGTCGAAGGCCCTGCTCAAGTCAAAGAAGACTCCTACAACAATATTTTTTTCGTCAATTAAATCATGTATGTGTTGTGGGAAATTTAGTGTTGCGGTTTCTGTTGAGCAGTTTTTCCTGAATCCAGGAAATATAGCTACACAAGTTGACTTTATTGTGAGATTTCTACGAGACAGTTTGCAAAACTGCAACACTGGTTTTGCTTCAAAATGGCTTCCACAAGCAATTTCATACTTTTAATAATTGATATTTTTCATTACCTGATTATATAGTCTTCAACTTTGTATATTTAATATTTTTATCGTTGAGATTGTTCATTGTTTTTTGAAATTGATTGATTTGAATCATTATCTTCACAAACATTCATTATTCTGATTCCCTCGAATTAATTCCTTATAAATCTTTCGAATTTTTGTAAAATATCTTCATCATATATTATAGTTTTTCCAACATACTCTAAATTGATTGAATAATTTATATGCAGGAGAAATATGAGGTTCAATGTATTATGCTTTTGGTAAACTACACAGAACAACCCTTCATTTCACTACAACGAAAAATAATTTCGAAAATACTATTGAGCAAATTTTCTTATAATAAACGAAATTTCGTGGTCAGATATATCAACTATTTTTTTGTTCAAAAAAATGTATAATGTAATCTATTCTCAAAAAATAACAACGTTCACGGGACTGATGCAGTAATATTTTTCAGGAACGTCTGGCACACAAAGAACTATCACAAAAGCTTTCTCACAAACTGCTCAATCTTGCCAACAGTGATTTGCAAGACAGAAGACTGCAAACAGATGATGAAAAACTTCCTCCACCTCCACCTCCTCCAGTGAGTTGAATAAAATTACATTGTGAAAAATTTCATTATTACTTTCATTATTACATACTTTTTGTATGCCTTAATAGTGTTATGAAATTCAACATGATTTTTGATTTCCAAAATTCTGAACGGGTATCTATTGTTTACTTGATTTTTTGATTTCTTCAATTCAATTTATTATTTTTTATCTCAGCCGCCATCAAAAACATCTTCAACAAGCGCTGCAACTACTCCTGTGATCGACACTCAACCATCCAACATCCGAATCAATACACTCAAATCCAACAAAACCAAACCAAAAGCACCCCCTGTTCCCGCCAAGCACTCCGTCTTGTCTTTTCGTCAACCTCCACCGTGCCCCACCCCAGACTATGACACAATTAGTCTTTCCTCCACGTCTTCTACCATAAAGCCCACCAACCAGCTCATTCAAGAATCGGTGGAGATGGACTCCTTGGACTCATTCAAAATGAACAACCCTGCGAGTAACAACCCCAAACCGCCTAGTACATATTTCCAGAAGAAGCTGTTATCAGCCCAGTCTTCCAATGCGTCTATTTCTTCGGCAGGAGCTCTGGAGAAGCCCAAATCAGTAAGCGTCACCATAGGGGAGTATCCTTCTGCGAGGAGTCAACCAGGAAGGCTTGATTTCTTGAAGAGGGGGGAGAAGAGCTATACGGGTGGGTCATTGGCTCACGAGTTATCCCAGACATTGAAAAAATCCAATCTTAGAAAAAGAACAGAGTCTATGGTATGTATTAGTTTTTCTTGAAGACTCATGGTGAGCCAATATAATAAATAGTACATTGTTATTTGTCAATACTTTTTGAACACAACCAATAACTTGAAGATATTCAAGAGGGTGGTAATAATAATAATAATAATAATACCTTTATTTCCAACAGGTTAACACCCAATCACAGGAAATACAGAACAATGCAATTAAAACTATTTCTTAGAGATACTATAATGAAATGTTACATAGGCATAAAAATTAGTACTAATATAAAATTAATTAATAACAAAAGAAATTCAAGAGAATGCAGAAACTTATAAATGGAATTTATACACATACATACGGCATATTGACTATGAACGACAAACCCGTTTCCCTTGCTGATCTCAGAGTAAGACCGTATTCCTCCGATAACATTCCAATATACTATTTAGTGAGTCATGGTGAATGTCGCACTGCAAGCTCATTCCATTCACTAAACCACACATATGGAATATTGGTGATCCAATAAGTAGATTGGTTCTTGGTGTAGGAGTGTAAAACGTAATTTCTTTACGTGACTGAAGACGAGGTACTCTAAAGAAAATTTGAGCTAGAATGTCTGGACAATCAATTTTGTTGTGCAAGACTTTAAAGAGGAATGTAATTGCCGACAGATCTCTTCGTAGTTCAAGAGAGTCGAATGAAAACGTTTCAAGCAAAACATTATACTCAATTCCGCGTTCAGGATATATGCCATTACACTTGAAGAATAGATATTTCAGGAATTTCCTCTGGACAGATTCTATCATTATTTTGGCGTACTGGTAAAAAGGAGACCATATTAGGCCAGCATACTCCAATTTGCTTCTTACGAACGTATTAAACAGGGTAATGAGTGTACTAGTATTCGCGAAATTGGACCAGTTTCTTATACAGTATCCCAATGTTTTGAGGGCCGACGAGATTGTCTTTGATATATGATCCATAAAACTTAGTTTAGGATCAAATAAAACTCCCAAATCCTTTATAGAAAGGCATCTTTCAAGGACATTATTATTTATGTTGTAATCAAATTGTAAAATAGTTTGTTTTCTGGAGAACGATAGAACTTTGCATTTTGCAATGTTGACAGATAAACGGTTTTTAGAACACCATTCAGTTGCCAAATCGAGTCCAATCTGCAAGTTATGGCAGTCGTTCAAATTATTTATACGATTGTAGATCTTAAGGTCGTCAGCAAAAAGAAGATGATTGTATTTCAACAACTGAGATAGATCGTCAATGAATATTAAAAACAACCTGGGACCACTGCCAGGTTGGATCCTTGAGGCACACCAGAAGCTGCTTGAAATTCGACTGACCTGTAACCACCATATTCAACGTAAAGATCTCGCGCAATCAAGTAGGATGACATTAGCTTTATAAGAGGATCAGAAAGTCCCATCACATCCAGCTTTGACAGCAATATGTGATGATCGATTCTGTCGAAAGCTTTTTGAAGGTCCGTGAAAATTACATCTACTTGACTTTGGGAGTCCAAAGCTGTTGAAATAAATTGAGTTATACATACTAAATTAGATACCGTTGACCTACCGGTCATAAAACCAAATTGCTTGTTCGATAAACAACCACTGACTTCCCTATAAATAGTCTCGTATAAAATTATTTCAAATAGTTTCGCGAAGTTGCAGATTATGGCTATTGCTCTATAGTTGGATATATCATTGCGCTCACCACTCTTGAATACCGGACATATTTTTGTTTTTTTCCAAATTTCAGGGTATTGGCCCGACTTCAACATCATGTTGAATATGATAGATAAGGGTTTGGCAAGTACATAAATACAGTCTTTCACAATGAAGCTTGGAATATTGTCGCAACCAGAAGTTAATTTATTCTTCAGTTTTTTCGATGCCGTTATAATATTTTCCTCGGTTATAATAGAGATATTGATATTAGTGTTATTAATTTTAGTGTAAGGGCAGCCTTCAGTTTGAGAGTTATTAGGTGACAGATAGACACTTGAGAAAAAGAGATAGAATGAAGAGAAAACTTTACTTTTATAGGAATTTCGAATACATTACAGATAGGCCAGCTTTCGTATGGGTTGAAGTTGAAATATTAGTGTGAGACTTGAAAAAGGTAATTTTTGGTTGACAGGGTTCCTTGTAACAAGGAATCGCTATTTACAGATTTTGAGTATCATCAAATTTGAAAAAACCTAAGAAGCGAAAGGGATCAACTTGTTTCTTGAAACACTGAGATCTAGATAATCTGTCAGTGTGAAGGAAATATGTTCGTTCCGAATAGATATTGAGTATTCACTGAAAATTGAAAAATTGAGACATTCGTAACTGAGACCCAAAATAAAATCTTCATGATTGGTTTTTTCAAATGAGGAAGCATAAAAAAACTGACATTGTGAGTGATTCAAAAAAACTACGAGACACTTCCCTTCTCATTGGCCTGGCTTCATAGAACTCATAGATTATAAAAAAAACTAATAAATAGAGTTTATTCTATGATTTTCACTATAAGGGTTTTACAAAAACCGCGACACGTGTTTCGCTATACAATAGCTTCTTCAAGCATAACTGAAGACACGTGTTTCGCTATACAATAGCTTCTTCAGAAGCTATTGGTCGTTTGGTAGCCAAGCGGTTCGGCGTGGGTGCTTTGTTCACTCACTCGAATTGATTGCCGTGTTGGTCGGTGGTTCAAGCCCTAGTCTGAACGATCGATCTTCACTTGCTACCGTCCAACCCGTGTTAGGAATCACACGTTAAAAGGTAAGACCTCGTTGATCTTTAGCTCGCACAAGTTTCGACTTCTGAGGGTTGTTGTTCGTAGGGGTGCGACAGCTGGTTAACGGAAAAACAGATTTTAAACAGATTTTTTTTCAGTTATGCTTGAAGAAGCTATTGTATAGCGAAACAGGTGTCGCGGTTCTTGTAAAACCCTTCTAGTGAAAATCATAGAATAAACTCTATTTATTAGTTTTTTAAATATGGATTTTCATCAAGTATTGGCCAGTTCTATTCAATTATCATAGATTATATCTCGTGAGTAGAAAGTGCATTTTCTATTGTTCTAGCACAGATATGTGGTGCTGTAAAATAAAGCATTTTCAGAAAAAGAGGTGCATATGAAGTAGCTCCACAATTTTTTCGAGGTAGTTTTTGAGTGAAGCGATGTTGTCAGATATCAATTCAGGGTTGCGATGCTAAATAGTGTTTTGATATGACAAATTATGTCTCAATTTCCTGAAAATAAAAAAAAAATAATATGAACATAACCTCTGTTATTGTGTTGATGAGAATTCATCTAATTCTCAAGTTACGCATGAGTATTTCTTAGAATAATATAGAGTTGCAGGAGAAGCATGTGTTGTTGATGCCATCATATTAAATGCGCTTTCCAGTCATGAGTTCTGTACCTAGCTAAGATTGTTCAAGTTTCAGTTCAAGGAATTAGGACCTAGGAAGCTGGGTGTTATGTAAAAAGACTTTAACATCAGCAGTATTGGGAAACTGAAAGCCTCAAGAGCCATACAGTGGCTCCAATCTGAATCTCCGATTTTAGCCGTCCTTCAAGTAGAGTTTTAAATAAATATTACATTATCTGATGAAAATTGAGGAAAAATATCAATTCGTCTAATTTCACCACAGAAAGAACAGGTGTTTTCGACAGGTTCTTTATTCTAGTTCATATCTGAAAGTACCTGTGATCATCATAAAATTTGGAAATGCAAAAGAATTTCAACGAAGAAATCGGTATGAGTATGGAAAAAGGGTTGAATATAGTCGACTTTGGATTCGAAGCGCTATCTCAGAAATTGTGACTTGAAAAACAAGTATATTCAGTATGGTGTAGTAGTAAATTGTAACCATATGATCAGTTTCGAAAAACTACACATGTGTCAGCACATCTATTTTTCATTATTCATCATTCTTCATAACATAAAAGTTTCTATAAAATTATTGAAAAACTCATTTTTGATTGACAAAAAAACATGTGAAAGGAAAAAGTTAGGGGGCGTCCATAAATTACGTGAGGTGTTTTAATTTTCTGTCCCTCCCTCCACCCTGGTGAGATGTCGTGAGATTTTACTCAACCCCCTCCCCCATCCCCCAATCTCACGTGAGATTTTTCAAAATGTGGGTTTCTTACGTAAACACGTTGGATCGTTATTGTAAAAAGAAAAAAAATGCTTCGTGCTTTTATTTACGACTAGTTAAGACTAGTAATCAATATTGCTGAGAGTTTAATTATAAGTGTAATAAAAATTTAACAATAGAATACTTGAATCGTAACTACTGTGATTGAAAAAAGAATATCTGCTCTAATTCAGTCCAAGGAGAATTATGCGCGGTCTCAAGAGAGACTATTGGAACCAACATGTCCATATGAGCTCGTACGCTCTCGTTCATCGAGTCGCGCGTTCGGCTGACAGTGGCGCGAAAACAAAGGACGGGCTACACTGTACCGTAAATTCAGATTAAATTGAGCTATTTGGTATAAAACAAATATGGTGGTTTGACAGTCAGTAGATGTATAACGTCGAAGTATGAATGAAATTATTTTCTTTCGAACGAATAATGCTTGAGATTAAATCTTAAGCATGTACAATCTGGATTAAATGGACCAAATAGTATAATTTTTTTATTTCAGCCAGAAAAAAAATTGCGTAATATTCGCCGGGACCTCCCCTCTCTCCAACGTAAGATTAGATGAGATTTGACTCGACCCCCTCCCCCTCTTAAACACCTCACATAATTTATGGACGCCTCCTTAGGCTACAGACCAGTTGGTAACAGATAAGAGCTTTTCAATACATCAAAAATATGCCATAAATTGCGAACTAAAAAAAAACTTTTTGGAGTTTTGGAACTCCAACTCTCCTCTCCAAAATTTCCAGTTCATTCTGTTTTCCAAGTACTTGTGAATATTACTGAATGCATATGTCATTTGCTCGCCATGTTTTTGGTCAATTAATTTCCTAATCTTTGTTTGAAGGTGATTGACAATGTTTCATGATGGATTTCACTAGTTTGGACTTCCATTGTCTAATATATAAAAAAATGTTTGAAATCCCTGAAACAACTAAAAAAGGAGAATCAAAAATGAATAGCTGAAAATAACAATTATATTGAGCAAAAATAATCTGAAATGAAAGAATAGTGAAATAAAATACAAGTAAAAATAGAACGATTGAACACGATGTTTTGATTGTTAGTATCTACAATCGTCTTCGGGTGATGACTGGACTGATTCCTCCGAGAGATGACTATGGGTCGTTCGAGTACTTTCACTCATCTCTGCTTTCCATTTTTTCCGCTTCACTGGTTCAGTGGGAGGTGACCGTTTGGCGAGAGTTGGCCATTTTTCGCTTGATGATGGGTTTCCATATGTTGCGTATCTCTACGCTAGTTTGGCTGAATACGTTGTTGGACAACATGTATGCGGCTCTCTTGAATTTCCTCCTAAACCAATGTTCCCCTCTGTGTATGGCCTCTTAGTTCCACCACTCACAGGGTATCCGGTAAATGCAATTCTTGGAATCGCAGTCCGCGATTGGTGGCCTGGTTTTCGTGAGGCTGCTACGGATAGTGTTAACAGATCTGAAGCAGGTTCTGATGTTGTACTTGAAACCAATTCTTCTTATCCTTTCCGATAACCCTCTGATGTAGGAAAGTGCAAGCACTGGTTGTTACGGTTTCTCTTCCTTGCGAGGCTCCTGCTGTCTTTCAGCCAAAGTTTCTTCTACCATCACTTTGGAGTAGCCGTTCCGTTGAAGATAATTTTTGATGATGTCTAGTTCCTTCTCCAGACCTTCCTTTGTATTACAGAGCCCGAAAGCACGGTCTAATAGAGTCTTGATGATTCTTCTTTAAGTCGATTGATGATGGTTGGATGCGTGGTTCAGATACTGTCCTGTATGACTGGGTTTTCGGTATACAGATGTTTCCCACTTAGTGTCGGTTCTCTTCACCAAAACGTCTAAGAATGGCAATTCGTTGTGGATTTCCTTCTCCTTTGTAAAAGTGATAGAAGGTATCATGCTGTTGATGTGTTTCAGGAAGGTGTCTAGTTCAGTATTCCCATAGTTCCATATCATGAAGGTGTCGTCAACATCTCATTCAGAATCGTGGTTTTTTTGTGGGCTTCTTCAATGGCTAGAGTTTCAAACCACTCCATATATATGTTTGCTATGACTGGTGAAAGTGGCTATCCCATTGGCAGTCCCTCGTCTTGTGTGAAGAATTCGTACTTCAGTTGGAAATAACAGTTTCGTACACAGAATCCTAGTAATTCCATAATTACTTCTATAGGTAGATTCATTCTCTCTTTCAGGTTCCCGTCTTCGAATATCTTTCTCTGTATGATTTGGAGTGCTTCTTCGACCAGGACTTTGGTGTGAAGGCTTTCCATATCGAAAATAATTAGTTGATTTTCCCATTTGCTAGTCTCTAGTTCTTTCTATTTTTACTTATTGCGATACAGTCTATAGCTCTTGCCTTCCTGCAACATCTACGCAAAAAATCCAGAAAATCCAAAACTATTGTCTCCGTTTCATCTATGGTATTCGTAGACGTCAACCCATCATGTGAAATCTCGCCGAAAACTTCACTGCTCCATCTTATATCACAAAATAATACCTACCCAAACTCCCTCCTACCTTTATAGAAAGATTGTGTTCCGCACTGATGTTCACAATCTTAATATAAGATCGAAAGGTACTATAACACCACCAATCCATAAATCATCATTGTTTGAGAGAAGTTTTTCCTATAATGTATCGACCACTTACAATGCTATTCCAAATGATTTTAAGAATATGAAACTCTCCTCCTTTCGAAAAAATTTGTTCGAATTTATGAAGTCCTCTTATATCTAGAAAGCGGTTATTTGAATCAGCACATATATCTATAGTTTCACTCAATTTTCATTAGTTATCTGCGATCTTTTGTTCCTTTGTTTTTCTTCTTCTGTTTGTCCAAAGGTTGAGTGGAAGACCATCTTTGTGCACTCCAGGTGCTCAAAATGAACTCCGCCTTTTCAGTTTGCATAGGAAATGTTATTTTGTAATCCTGTGTTCTACTGAATAAAGAATATTATTATTATTATTATCATTGTTATTAATATTATTATTATCATAAATAGTCATCTCTCGGAGGAATCAATCCAGTCATCACCCGAAGATGATTGTAGATACTAACAATTGAAACGTCGTGAACTAACGTGGCTTGGAATCTCTTAACTTTTATTTTCATTTTCATTTTTATTTCTTTATTTCTATTTTTTTATTTTTTTATTTTTGTAAAATTGTTCTATTTTTACTTGAGCTTTTCATTTTTAATTCTCCTTTTTCAGTTGTTTCAGGGATTTAAAATCTTTTTATATATTAGACAATAATGGAAGTCCGAACTAGTGAAATTCAATTTTCTAATCGTCAGTATAAACTGGAAAATGAAATGGAAGACATTGTAGGCTTGGTCTGATTCGAAATCAGTGTATTTCTTGTATTGCTTTCTACAAAGTCTGTTCTTGCTACCACTGGAAATAGCCTATAAAATCTCAACAGAAACAAAGATATTTAGGACATGAAGACCTTCGATAGTTTTACCAGAAAAATACGTCTTGTTTACTTTTATACAAGTACCTAGTCAGAAAGTTTCAGACAGTACGGTTTTCCTGCCAAATTTTGTTTCTGAAAAAGTCAAACGACTATGCACACTATTGTGTAGTGATGTAGTGATGCTTCTCATCACTTGAATTCGCCGTAGTGGCTGAATTGAATGGTTCTTTTCAAGTTGAAAGAGAAATTGAATTTCCGACCATATTCATATCAACGCACTTATTCACTCTTTTTCACGGTACCATTATTCAATGTGTTGAGGTGTAGCGAAAGAAATCCACAGTTTCAGGTAATCGAATGTTTTGCTGTACGTTTGGAGTCTCATGAATTGATTAATAATGTATAATTGATGGTTACTAAACATTTATTTGTGAGTTATTTGAAATCACATACATATATTTGGAATAATATTACAAGCCATGTTGAATATTCGACGACAGGGATCAAGTAGAGTTCTTTGAACCAGTGTTATATTTTAATATTTCATCTAAGTCTTCACACAATATACTTATGAAATCAAAAATTCTCTATAAATTGCACGATTTCAATGCTAGGTGTAACTATGAACGAATACAAGCTGGATGAATGGGATAGTGATGGTTTCAAAGCCAAGCTGTAGACTTTTTGAATTTCTTGAGATCACATTTATGACCTTTCAAACAACAATGCTTTCTATATTTCAGCTTTCTTTTTCGGATCTTCAATTCATATTGTATTTTTTCTTTTTATTTGGTGATCACTTCTTCAAAATTTCTCATATGTATTAACTTTATTTTTGGTATTCAGGAAAACTTGTTCAGCAGTCCGCAAATCAAGCCTCAGAGTAACGGATCTGTGCGGATATCCGTGAGCAATTTGTCGAGAGAATTCGCAAAGTCCACGAATGATTTGACGGAGGATTTCGGAACGAAATCGGGAAACCGTGTCAAGATCAATATTAATCAAGCCAAATTTGGTTCATGAACAAAACAGAGTATGAAATCTAATGCATTCATTTTATTCTCAAAACATGATTCATTTTTGTTTCAGGGTGCAATAAATAATGGAGTTATAGAACTCATTTATACAGTCAGTTATTTTTCATGGCTATGAAGAAAGTGCAAATATTAACGTTTACACATATTACTAGTATGTTATTTAGAGTTATGTGCTTACTTACAGATATTGTTGAATGTACTTTATTACTCGATCAAATAAAAATTATAATGATATGATTTCTGTTTCAATCGACCATATGTTTATTTTATATTCGAGTCAATTATCCTCAAGTATTAGGAGAATCAACAGCAAGCAAATTATTTGCAATGTGGATAAGATGAATGAAGAGACGCTCAAATTCATTCCAAGACCTTATGTTGATTATCAATTTCTTTTCAATTTTACATCGATATCACTGAGAATATTTGGTTGAGAAGTTGAAGGGTCTTTTGTCTGCAATTCAAGGAGCCCTCAAGAAAAGGTAACGTTTTAGTCGACGTAAAATCAAGGCGAAACACTAAATAGGTTGGATTCCAATTGATGCATTGATGAACATTGATGATTTTATGTAAAACTCACTAATATAGTTTACTGTGCCATTTTCAATATGGAGGGTTTTACAGAAATTGAGACATGTGTTTCTCTAAAAAAATCCTCAAGCAAGAAGGGTAGGTTTTCGAAGACTGAACAACTAGTCTTGCTATTAAAAAGTGGTAAAAAGACAGTCTCAGTATAGATTATAATTAAACGTACACTCTCCATCTACATCTCCATTATTCTGAAGTTGGTTTCAGCTATTTCTTTGAGAGATTTCCAGGGTTACAAGTATAAAATATTGCGGTTTCATCGGCGAATGTGGTGATTGTTCCACAGCTCTGGCTAGAGAGAAGACCATTCAGGTATTTATTGAAGAGAATCGGTCTTGATATAGTGCTTTGAGGTAAACCATGTTCTATTGCTCTGAATATACTAACGGTGTTATTGATTTTGAAGCATTGAAATATGCTCGACAAATAAGATTTGAACAGTTTGAGCTGATTAACCCTAATTCTCATTTCTTCCATTGATTCCAGCAGTAGAGTATGACTCACCATATCGAAGGCTTTCGCAAGGTCAATTAATAAAGATGGTCTTGCTGTTGTTCAGGCTTGAGTGAATCTTCGAGGAAAGATCCAAGATTGCATCTTGAGTAGATATATCCACAGAAAATCCAAGAAACTGCTTCGATGAAAGCAGTCTGTATAAAAAAAAAATTGTAAAAATCTCGAACATCCTTAGCAAAATTCGTTTTCACTGAAATAGATCTATGATTTGAAAAAAATGTTGTCGTCTCTATTCGTCACGATACTTTCATATAATGAAAACTAATGAATCTGGAAGCCATTCTTTTGTATCCTTTAATGTTTCTCACAATAGATCTATTTCCGGTGATTTATTATTTTCAAAGATTCCTGTCTATAAGCTGCCCTTATGGACAAAGGATTTCTTTGAGCTATGAATATTTGTGGGCCATATTTTTGCCTGACGATAAATACATAGTGATCATTGAAAACACTTGTTTCTTGAATTTTGTTGATTTTTTTTTCTTGACATGTAACTGTTTTATGTGATTATTCTTCTTATTTCCAGATGATATTTCTTGTGTATTCTGTGTTAGCATTATTACCAACTATTTGACTGTGAAGCTCAACCTAGTATATGCGCATTAGTAATGTGATTCTAAAGATCTTCGGCATATTTCAATGTTTTTCAAAAGATATTATCGTATAAATGAAGGCGTTCGTTGTGACGTAATTACTCTTGTGACAACCCCCTTTATTACATATATGTAGGATAGGGAAGGGAGAAAAATGAATCTGTTAGAGCCCATGGAAATTAACAAATCAATTAAAAACCAGAAACATATACCCCTAAACGAGCAACTTGATTTATGTTGGTCTCCTCTCCCTCTTCCTCTCTCCTCCCCTAGAATTTTCAGGGTGGTATTTTAAGTTGGCATCCTGTCTGTCAAATACCTGTCCTAGAAGCATACCTGAAAATTCTAATAAAATCGATATTTCAAAATTTAGATTTCAGTTTTATACTTGATAATGGGGTCAAACCCGAAAGCGGTCGTATAAATAAAATTCACCAGTGGTATTTAAATAAAAGTTTTTTATTAATTTCATTTAAGTGATCACGAATTACCATAAAGTGAACAAGTCATCAATCACACATATAAGCAGAAAATGTTTTCGTATAACACAAATATAATTATTTATTAAAACATACGAATATTTATGCACAACAAATAATGTACGTGAACATTACTGATCATTTGCTCTGTGGGCAACATTACTTTTTTAGTTAAATCGCATGAACTCCAAAATCAACCATAAGAATTTGGAAAAGTTGAACATTCATTTCATAATATATATATCTTTCGAAAGTTATTGAAAAAAGTTGATTGTTTTTTTTTCGTCATATTTTTCTACATCAATAACTGAATCAGTAAATTTGTTTTGTAGTTTTATTCGAAATTAGCGTTGCCAATAGGAAATTATCAGACATATTCTACAAAATTCCTCAGAAGGATTTGAAATTTCCAGAATTCCTCACGAAAATGCATATTATTGTCGCACCAAGTAAAAATTAAAAAAATGTGGAAGTTCCTCCAAAATAAGCACTATTTACAATTACCAGAATTGCAATACTTTCCTCAACGTGTGTTTCACCAACCAAGTTGGCGTCTTCAGTTTTTTTCATCTCCTGAAAGCGTCAACATGATTGGTGAAACCTTTCAAAAAACATTATTCTCTAGAATCCCTATTAGCTGTATTTTATTTTTTTTTATATTCATTCGTGCACAACTTCATGCCAAGCTAACACGGCCAGTGTTTCTAGACCATTTTTGATGTTTTGCAGTAGATTTTGTTTAAAAAAAAACCCAGTAAGTGAACAGACATAAAAATCGTAAATATATATTCCATGAATACATACTACGTACATGGTCTCGAGCGATTTCTTCTTCATCTGCAGTGGATTGATTCGCAATATTCCGTAGTCTAATTGCACTACGGCTTTGTTAGAAAAAAATCGATCTTGCTCACGACATTGTAAATAATACTGTATTGGATATTACTGACTTTGTTTCTCATTTCACATAGCATTTATTTATGCGCGGACAATCATGAATATCATAACCTCAATTGTATTCGTACGCTAAATGATACTGGTATCGAAACATCATTGATTTTTTTCTATTTCTGAATGGTTCAATAGTTATTTTACTATTTCGGATGGAGACCAATCCAACATATCAAATATCGTGAAAATCGCCCCAATCGTTTTTGTGTTATTTTTTCTAATTTTCCTCAGTTTTTCGAATGATTCAATTATTCTGCTATTCCAGGCAGTGACAAACACAATAAATAGAAAATCATGAAAATCGGTCCGGCCGTTTTTGTGTTATAAATGATATAACTACCAGGATTTTGCGACTTTGTTCCATACATATATAAGATAAGATGGTTGGTCTTACTCAGTTTCTGTCAACTTCTCCCTTTCCATTGGATGATAACGCCACATAGAAATTTTGGAGGTTCAGTTCCTACAAAATCGGTCATATTCGATGATGTGATAACCGGGTTTCATATTTTGATTAAAAGCTACAATGGTTCAAATATGCTAAATATTTCAAATATCTTGACTGATGACATTGAAAGTTATGAAGGAGAACATAATTGCCAAAAATGAAATATAAATTCGGCCACCTTAATTCTTTTCAATAAAAGATGATTTCTCAACTGGTACCAAATTCCTTAAAAATATACCAACAAGTGGCATCTCCGATTAAAATACAGATTTCTGCAGTTTATTGATCCTTTCCATAACCAACATATCATGCACGTATGAACCCAGCTACAGAAATGAAGTCAACTGTATTTCGTATTCTGGTTTAGCGTTGTTTGAGATGTATCCTGCTAGATGTCGCCATGCATGTGAAGTGTGGGGAATTTTGATGGTCGTAAAAACTGATGATAAATCTCATTCGGATATAAACGTCATGATAGTTGGAAAATTTCTAAGGATATTTTTATCAAGCAAGATACTCGTATCTTTGGAATAGCATACTTTGTGAGCTTTTCCAAGCTTTGCGTTCTTGGTGAAATCAATATTTTCATCAGATTATATCTCTGAGGTTCCCCTTCGTATTTGATTTGAAACGTTTTGATCATCAAACGAGTTGAGTAAATTCAAAGATGTAAGCAAAATAAGTATACTTGACTGGTAGAATTATACAAAGTGGATCATCGATGATAACATACCGCAACTGAAAGGAGAAATAACTTTCCGCAAAAATCCGAAAACAACATCAATTCTTCACTGCAGAACCATTGCGAAACTTTAACCGTCAAAAAGGAGAGAGGTTTCTCTTTCATATCCATTCATTAGAAGATGTAGAACTTTGAAATGTCAACAATAAATTATTTAAAAAAATCGAGTTGATTTTGAATAAAAACATATCGCACCAATCTAAAAAAAATCTTTTGAACAATATTCAGTTTCCTGCGTTCAGTGGGTATCTTGTTTGTGGTCTATTTGACTCTCCAATTCAACTCGCGAGGGTTTGTTGTGGCTCACACTCATTTCTACATTTTGCTTATGACGATTCTGATTTCTGGTAGATTTTGCCAGAAGTTTGAAATTCTTCTGCAGTCAGTCCAGGAATTCATTGTTTGGTTAGCAAATCTCCAGGCAATACCAATGACAGATTCTGGTCTGATTTGCAGCGCTTCCTTTCCCAAGGAAGTCAGCAATTTCATTACTTTCCAGGCCAGTGTCACCAGAAATCACCAATAAGTATCTTTCTTGACCTCTCGAAAGCCTTCGATACAGTTAGTCATCAAAAATTACTGAATGAATTGAAATATTATGGGATTAGAGAAAACGCCTATGATATATCAAAAGATTATCCGTCAGAATGAACGCAACAGGTGCCAATCGATAAGGTATGTAGCACCCCTAGAAAAATAATTCATGATGTTCCGCAAGGTTCTGTTCTGACACCAGTACTCCTTATTCTATACATAAATAGTCTTTTCAACATATATACTTTGGGGAAAATCATTAGTTTTGCAGATGATACTGTTGTTACTTACAAAGAAAGCAAACACTTGAACTTCAAGAAAATATTGAGAATAATTTTCCTAACATAGCTGAATGGCTTCAGTAGAATGAACTCACTCTCAACTTA